CCAAAACACCCCCCCCCCCCCTCTCCTCCCCCGTGATAACAAAGTAGTGCGTTTAGTGGCGTATAACCTACATCTTAAGAGAGGGTGTTTTGCACTGGGACAACTGAAGGTATGATATGAGCAAGAAGTTCAACCCCTACAAGTCCTGGAGTCGTTGTGACAAGTCTTAACCCAACAACTTCACTGATGGAACTATACAACCGCGCCTAATTCTCAAAGGTTTGAGAATAAAATATTGTCCCTTTTGTCCAGTTCGACAAAGTATATTATTGATTTTTGTCCGACCAAGTCGTATTCATTCACCAACCGCAGAAATGGAGTCTGGCAATGGACCTAACGACACCCACGACAGCCATGCAAGCCAGGTCACCGCGCCTTGCATCATCTTCTTTATATTGACTCCCGTCTTTCTGATAACCAGAATATGGAGTCGTTTGAAGAGAGGTTCGGGTCTAGGATTGGATGATTATACCATTTTAATATCATTTGTAAGGCAACCATGTGGATTCGTATCTACATTGCCGGATCAGGTTTTGCTGATTCTTTTAATGGAGGCCTGTACTCTTGCTGTTCAGATTCTAATGATGTCTGCTGTGAATCATGGTTTCGGAACGCATATTTATCACCTTTCTCACGATGAAAGACTCATGGCTTTAAGGGCATGTCTGTCCCACCAGTTTTGTTGTTGGACTCCCGGCCGTGTAGGAAGTCGTCGGCTAACCTCTCTGTGCGGAATAGCTGTTTTACGTTGCTCAAATATTTTACAAAATTACCATTAATCTCACCAAATCATCGATTGTTCTTCTGTATCTACGCATCTTCCTCCAACGATGGTTTCGAATCTGTTGCTATATCCTCCTGGGCCTCTTTGTTGCGTACATGATTGCGACAGTCGTCGCATCAATCTGGCAGTGCAGTCCGATCAAAGGTGCGTGGGACAAGAGCATGAGTCCAATATGCATCAGTTTGACAAAGAACTGGTACGCCAATGCCGGCTACTCCATCGCCACAGACGTCTTGGTCCTGTGTTTGCCAATGCGGCCTATCTGGACATGCAAGCTGCCCGTCAACCAGAAGAGGGCGCTCATGTTGGTTTTCGCCTTGGGAGGCTTGTAAGTAATTGAAACGCACTATTTCAAAATTGTCGTGGCCAACGCGTATACAATTTCTAGCGTCACAATCACCTCCATCATGAGAGCAACCACTCTCAGCTTCTCGACCAAGAGTCCCGATCCTACCTGTAAGGAACTTTTTTTTTCTCTGCACACCAACGTGGGACTTTGAATACACTAACGCACCCTAAGATGACATCACATCAACGCTATGGACAATGATTGAAGAAAACGTTGCCATTATCTGCGCCTGTCTGCCCATGTGCCGCATGGTCCTCGCCTGGATCTTCCCCAAGGCCTTCCCATCCCCTTCAATAGCTGCCAGCGGCGGCGAAGGATCCGGCGGCCCAGCCTACACTATTGGTTCAGCTCCGAAACAGCCCTCTCCTTCACACGACGACGACGACTGGCAACCGTATTCCGGCCCTGCCAAGTGCGAAGGCCACAATCACAGTATTGCCCGCTACCACCCGGAAGACGCCAGCAGCGAAGAGTTTATTCTGCACTCTGTTACAAAGCCAGCTACGCTCGAAACGGACGGAGCAGCCATTCGGAAAGCAACCCACTACGAAATCTCGTACGAGCGAGACTCCTACAATAAGGTGTAGACACAATTCGTGGCCTTGATGACGTAGTGAATTGCGCGACTAGTTGGAGAGATAGATTAGGTCTGGTCTCGATTACTGCATACCCAGGGATTATGCCCCTGGATGGGCAAGGGAGAAACAAAAGTAGTATGTTGCAAGCTTTCCCCGGAAGCAGTAAAAATAGAATCATGGATTCACGAGTTTTGGAAAGTACTTATATTTACGCAAAAGATCAACGACTTTCCTCTTTTCCGCCGCAATCCGCCTTCGCCAAAAGTTCGCCGCGGCACGGAACGATCATGCTTCGGGCGTGAGACGGGCGAGCTTATCCAACACACAACTATCTCTTTACTTGCCTAATCTGGCACCAGGTCCCGTTTGTTGACTTTTGTTCTGTTTGGCTCACTGGGATCGACACGACCGGGGTAGAGTTGCGGTGGCCCTGTAAGCCGTCAGGTTTCGTGCTGTTTGCAGATTTGGTCTACGTCTCCTACTAATAGGATAAAAGGAGTCTGGAGTTCAGGGGGGAATGTTCACTGTAGATTTGCAGTTGGCTCTTGGATGATACGAAATGAGATGAATGCAAATGACTTGTAGTATCCATGGTACAACAACACATCTGTAGTACTTTACACAATGACAACTGAGAATAGTTAGCTCATGCCCTCCATGAACTCTACACGATCCAGAAGCATCTGTCTATAGCCCATGTACTCTTTCAATCCCTCCCACTCTGGGCCCGTCTCCTCACCGTGTCTCCAGGGCTCTTGGAAACCCCATGCACAGGCGACCTTGTCCAGGGCAGCGCGTTCATCTTCTCGTAGCCACCTGTATCGTAGAGGCGTCCCGGGGGCCCATGTAACTCGTTTCATTTGGTCCTTGTTGCTGAGTTTGGCAATGACACCCAGCGATCCTACAACGAAGAAATAACCCGAAATACCGGCGACACCAATTCCAGTGGCGGTGCTAATGTCCATTGTGTTTTGCCAGTAGGCTGCGTAGGCGGTCGACAGGCCGAATATACCAAAGGGTAAGGTGGCAAGACCGATTGCCGGGGCGGTGCCGTGGCGTATTAATTTCTGGCGTTTGAATGCTGGGACGGTGTATGCTGCTTCGATGATACCCAGCGAGGCATCTAGGTTTTTGGCGTCAATGGCTGTCTGAAGAGCCGTGGCGGCGACCCCTTCCTCAATAGCTCGTGACGCGGCATTGGGGTTCGGCTGGACGTAGTGGATCTGGCCCTCTTTCACCACGGGCTTGGGCTTGGAAGCATAGAGCTCCAGCACGGAGGGGAGAGACTCGGGACGGCCCAGTTGCGACTGGATCTGGACATAGGTCTCGAGAAATTCAGGAGTCATCTCGACGTTGGGGTGTGTGATGATGCTATATGCCGCGTACGATATTCTGTTGACAGCTTCTTGGATCTTGGCTTCGATTGGTATCCTTGCGCCAGTTCGCTCGGCGCCGAGAGCAACCAGTTTTGATGCAGAGGCTTTAGACTGCGCTTCTGCCCGCTTCAGCTGAGGATGGAGGGCGGACGCAGCGCGGAGGCATGATTCGAGAGCGGCATTGGTCAACTGGACGGCTGGGATGCCGTCGACAGAGAAGAACTTGTTTTTGCTGTCCTCAGCTACCTGGGCGAGGGCCGCAGGGTCGGTGACATGCGCCGGCGCCGATGCATTTGAGGGTTGGGTTCGTCTCACGAATGAGGGCTGATCGTGGTCGCCTGTGACATTGCTTGCCGCCGTCGATGACCATCTCGGCGCACATGTCGTCCGCCCCAGCTGCCTCGAAACACCAGCGCATCGAACGGACCATCGCACGCCAATGGGTTGTTTGGACGCTTGTGCCTGGGTGAAGGCGCAAGAGTCGCAAACAAAGCCGATGTTTCTAGGCGTCGCACGTCTCATCGTGGGCGAGATGGCCTATTGGCGGGCAATGGTGTGTCGGGATTGCGATTGAGATGGTCGTTGACTGGAAGCTGCCAGGAGGTTGAAACCAATAATTTTCACTTGACCACCTCGCAGTCCGGCCGGGGCTCTCCTTCCATTGGTGCTTCCACCGTTGCCCCACCGGTTGCCTCGAGAGTTGGCAAAAAGGAACCCGTCGTGCCGGTGTGATCTTTGGCGGAATCAAGGTGAACAACTCTCATGGGCAGAAAAACAAACCTGCGACACTCTCAGATTCAAATGTCCCGGTTGATGCATTTAACCACTTGCTTCGTCGCGTTGTTCCGGAGCACTTTGTTGGACCCTTTGTTTGCCAAGTAGTACTCCGTACAAGTCAGCAATAGCCCGGGAAGCGGGGCCGTGGAGAGGCACTGGCTGGGACCTGACAAGGCCGCATTCGCCACCCACGGATGACGAAACATTGGAACTTTGTGCATGCTCCCACAACGGCTGCGAGGACGCCGTGCCATCTCACCTCACCTCAACACCGAGGCGTTTCTGCGACCTTCTTGTACCACTTCCACCGACAACGGTTTTCCACAACTCTCTTGCGACTCTTTTGGGTCCTGAAACGGCTGGTTTGAAGCAGCAGGCTGCTCGAATCTTCATATAGACGCTGGCCGACCTCGGACGGTCTTCTGTTCCCCCGCGCTGCCTCTGCATTTCTCGGCAGCATCCCAACCTTGAAGTCGATATAGCGATACATAGATATACAGATTCAGCATAAAAGATGCCAGCACCTCCTCCTCCTCCGCCGCCGCCTCCTCCCCCGGGTGCTGCAGGTCCTCCTCCCCCTCCACCACCACCCGGAGGAGCACCTGGAGGGATGCCCTCACGACCTCCTGCTTCTGGGAATAGAGTATGTTGCTCACTGTCCTGGTTCTATTTATTGCAGCTAATTATCTATCAGAACGCCCTATTATCAGATATCCAGAAAGGAAAGTCCCTAAAGAAGGCTGTTACAAATGATCGATCTGCACCAGTTGTTGGGAAGACATCATCTGGTGGTGGTCCTGTACTTGGAGGAGCGCCAGCAGTTCCTGGTGGGCTGGCACCGCCAGTTCCTGGAAACCGAGCGAGAAGCAATAGCGATCAAGGCTCTGGCCAGGCAGCGAGCTCGGGCATGGAGTCGGCAGCGCCACAACTCGCTGGGCTATTTGCTGGTGGTATGCCAAAGCTGAAGAAGCGAGGTGGAATAGATACGGGGGCAAATTCAGATGCCTCATATCTCTCGGATCCTGGAGAGTCGAGAAGTTCAGCACCTAAACCTCCTGGTGCTCCGAAACCACCAAGTGGTGCAGCGCCTGCTATACCTGGACGTGGTCTTCCCATTCTCTCTCCCGGCGCAGCAGGCCACTTGCGCAAGACAACGCCCCTAGGAGGATCAAAACCTCCTCCACCACCGATTGGTAAAAAGCCGCCTCCTCTGCCGACATCTCGGAAGCCTTCTTCAAAAGCCATTTCCCCAGCTGCTGCTGCGCCGACACCACCTCCGCCTCCGCCGCCAGCCAGTGCAGCCCCTACTCCATCTGCTCCTCCCCCCCCCCCCCCCCCCCCCGCCGGCACTATCTGCTCCTAGTCCAGCAGCACCTCCTCCTCCTCCTCCAGCTTCGGCTCCTCTTCGACCCTCGGGATCTCCAGCTCCCAGGACCCAAGCACCACACCCGCCTCCTCCGCCTCCTCCTGCCAACTCAGCGCCGATACCCGCCCACTCTCCAAGTTCCGCTCCTCCGCCGCCGCCAAATGCAGCTCCGTCACCGCCTACATCGCAGTCACCACCGCCGCCGCCTCTCTCAAGAAACCGGGGCGCTTCTATTAGACAATCTATGCTGGATCCCAGCTCATATACCCTGTCTGCGAATGGCAGTGGCTCGCCGAGCCCAAGCCGAAATCCATCGCATTCTCCCTCTCCTAGCATTGGAGGAAGGTTCATAGTCAACGATTCAAGGTGGCAATTCAAGGATGAAAGTTTGTTGCCCAAGCCCAGAGACTTTCGCGGAGGGCCAAAGAAGTATAGGGCGGGCAGAGGTAGCAGTGTGCCATTGGACTTGAATGCGTTGTAGGAGAGTAGAAAGTTGGAATCAATGGACGAAACATTTTGGTGTACAATTAGCATGCTTCATTCCAGGGAGCATATAAGTAGTAGTTATGAGTTGACATGTTATGAACGGTACTTCCACTATTATCAAGCAGGCATATTAAATATTTCAGCCGCGGGCACGCTCAGCACTTTTGGTCGATAATTATTGGACCCCAGGTAGCACAGCGAAGAAATGAAAAGTAGAGAAGTGATTTTTTAATGTGTAATTTTCTCTTTTTTTTTTTTTTTTTTAAAAAAAAATAGCTTCTGGATGCGTAGATATATTTCCTCTATACAAGTCACACTATGCGTAATATAGTACATTTTGGCTTCTCCCGTCATGCGTATTGTACAAGTCCACGAGGCCTGCCAAGGTTTACATGGACTTCAAGTAGTTTGCCTCCTTGATCTTGGCCTTTCTCTCCTTTCGCATAGCCTTCCTGAGCTCTTCTCTCTTCTCGGCAGCCGCAATATTATCAGCAACACTCCCGCCCTCTTCACCGGGCAGATTAATCGACTGGTGCTGGATGGAAACCTTGGGGGTCAAAGCAGCGAGGTTTCCTTCGGCAAGAAGCTTGGCCTCGAGGGCCTTCTGGCGCTTGGCCGCCAACTTTCGCTGCTTCTTGGACTTGGCTATTCGGACAAATGTCAGCTTCAATTCGATAAAATCGGAAGACGGTCTCGGAAGCTAGTGCGAGGCCAGTTCTGCTCCAACATACAGAATTCGTCTCCAGCATTTTCGTCAGCCGCGTCCGCGCCCTTCTTCATCACGTCAAGACATGACCACAGCCACTCGGGGTATTCCTCGTCTTTCTTGGCGACGGGGTCCTGGCCGCCCTTGTTGTAGTTCAATCCGGCTAGGACGGTGCCTTCGGGGCAAATTGATCGCGGTATTGACGATTCCTTCGCCGGGGCATCTGCGTTTGTCACGGGTGTTGACAGCTTGGGCTCAGCAGCGCGTACTTGCGCCGATGCGGAAAATTGCCGTAGTAGGGGTAGCCTTTGCCTTGCGGCGGTTGTGCGAATGCACCTTGTGCATAGCATGGTGCTGGTTTTTTTCCCTTTGGCGATTTGCAGTCAGAGGTGATGGAGACGAGGCTTGGAAGTTTGGGTGCACGGTGGTAGTCAAAATTTAGCCCGGGCAGGTGCGTGCAGATTGGGCCAATGGGGGTGGCCAGCGCAACACGGCACGCAGCCTCGTCACTTGTGCGCATGACCAGTTACAGCACGACGACGGCAGACTTGCTGCCTTCAACAGCAAGTGTTAACTTGACAAATAATAATGATGTCTAATGGTATTCCATTAAATGCCGATATATAGATATATACATACACGCACACTTGTGCAGGATCCAGGTGCTGCTTCTGGTCAATGCCCTCGACGCTCTTCTCCTCACTCAGATTGGACTACCACTTGAACATCTCTGTTCGCTTGATCGCCCATTTGAAGCTCCTGTTCTACAAATTCCAGTACCCAGTATTCCATTTCTGGGGCTTCTCTTAAGACGAAAATCGAGCGCCGCCGTTAATCTTGGCCATCTTGTCAGTAATGTGAGTTTTTGCAGCAATATCGAGCTCTTGGTCTTTCTGTTCGAGGTAATTTTGTTGCAAGAACTTGGTTCCCCTGATTTTGTTCGTAGCAAGCATCTGCAGGTATTTCTCTGCGCGCCCATGTTGTCAGCGTTATACCCTCCTGGTTCAAACACTTAAAGCCCACTTACCTCGCAACTCGCCGCAGTTCTCCAAGTGGTTAACGCCCTCGCGCATGTAGCACTTGCCCAATTCCTCTCCAACAAGCCGTGTCTTCATGGCGCCGACCCATTGTTCTCTGATGATGGCATCTTCGGCGGCTTTGAAGGCTTTGGTGTCGTCGTAGTCGACGCCGTTGAAGGTCGGCGCAACACTGGGTTTCTGGCTCTTGAAGAGCTCGGATTCCGGTGTCGGCATATTGACAGAGAAAACTGAGTCTCCTTTTCACGGGGCAGAGGCCGTCGATAAAGAGACCGTTGTCCGGCGGCGGCAAGAAATTGCTATCTGCAGCTCACGAAAGAGATCGTGGGTATGGCCAGGAAGAGAGTTCAATTCGGCCGTAATGAATACACGCCTAAATTGCAAGGCACCAAGCATCTACGGCGCATCTAGGTACGTACCGTTGACTTTTCACCGCCTTTGGTTTTGACCCACAATTTGGCTGGCGGAAAGGAAAAAAAAAAAAAATCTACACCGCGCGGCGAGGCCCAGCCTCCAGCCGCAGAAAAAGGGAAAAAAAAAAAGTAGAAAACCATAGCCGGACCTGCCCACCCTCCATTTTTATTCTCTTCCCATCACACATTTCCTAGGATTTTGCATCATTTTTGCATTCCGGTTCCCATTTTCACTCTATTTACCGTTATTTTTCCGTACTTCCTCTTTTAAAAGAACAGATACGATGGCCAAGTCAAAGACCAAGGAGAGCAAGAAGGCTGACGCCGCTCTATCTACTGTTAAGAATGCTGGTGTTACCAAGGCTTCCCAGTCCACCAAGTCCAAGTCCAAGGAGATTGCCAAGGCTGCCGCTAAGAAGGTAGTCAAGGAGAAGGACGCCCCTGAGAAGAAGAAGAAGAAGAAGAAGGTCGTCGAACCTGAGTCTTCTGAGTCCTCTGACTCTGAGAGTGAAAGCGACTCTGATGCCTCTGAGAGCTCCGACTCTGAATCCGAGGCTGAAAAGAAGCCTGCCGTCAATGACAAGACCAAGGCGAAGGCTAAGAAGGCCGATTCTGACTCCGAGTCCGAGTCCGAGTCCGAGTCTGAAGCTGATTCTGACTCCGAGTCCGATGCTGACAGCGAGTCCAAGGAGGAGACTAAGAAGCCTGCCACCAGCGGCAAGGCCAAGGCCGCTGCCTCCGAGTCTGACTCTGATTCCGACTCTGACAGCGAATCCGCCGAGGAGTCCGCCAAGCCTAAGGTCAATGGTAAGGCCAAGGCTGAAGCTGATGACTCTTCAGATTCCTCTGACTCTTCCGACTCTGAGGAGGAGAGCGATGAGAAGGCCACCGCCAAGGTTGGTAGTTTCTATTCCTTGGTTTATACATGATACTGAACTGACTGGCTCGTAGAAGGTAGCCGACTCTTCTGACTCTGAAGAAGATTCAGACGATAGCGATGACAGCAATGAAGACGATGCCGAGGAGTCTGACGAGTCCAAGACCAAGACTGAGGATGCCTCTGCCTCCAAGAAGCGCAAGGCTGAGGAGGAAATCGACGCCACCCCCAAGAAAGCTAAGACTGATGAACAAGCCGCCTCCACTTTGTTCGCTGGCAACCTGAGCTGGAACATTGATGATAACACCTTGTCCGAGGCTTTCAAGGGGTTCGAGGGCTTAGTCGGTGCTCGTGTTGTCACCGACAGAGACGGCGGCCGCAGCCGTGGCTTCGGATACGTCGACTTTGAGACGGCTGAGGCCGCCACCAAGGCTTACGAAGCTATGCAGGGTTCTGAGTTGGACAGCCGTCCTCTTAACCTGGATTACGCCAACTCTCGGCCTGCCGATTCTAACCCCCGTGACCGTGCTACGGACCGTGCCAAGAAACACGGCGACTCTGTCAGCCCCGAAAGCGAGACTCTCTTCATCGGCAACTTGCCCTTCGACACTGACCAGGAGACTGTCCGTCAGTTCTTCGCCGAGGTCGCCGAGGTCGCCAGCGTTCGCTTGCCTACCGACCCGTGAGTCCTGTCTCAACTCCGTTGCATTGATGTCAATCCGAAACTAACTGTTCTCGTAATAGTGACTCTGGAAACCTAAAGGGATTCGGCTATGTTACCTTCACCTCGGTCGAGGACGCCAAGAATGTCTTTCAGCAGTTGAATGGTGCTCCACTGGGCAACGGCAGGACATCTCGCAGCGTGCGTCTTGACTTTGCCAGCAGCCGTCCTCAGCAGGGCGGCGGTGGCTTCGGTGGTGGTCGCGGTGGACGTGGAGGGCGTGGAGGTCGTGGAGGTCGCGGTGGTGATCGTGGCCGTGGCCGTGGCCGTGGAGGCGGCCGTGGGGGTTTCGGCTCCGGTGCCAACCGAACTGCTCCTTCCAGCTTCGCCGGCACCAAGATGAACTTTGACTAGAGAAAGCAAATATGTACCTGGGGGCTATCAGTGGGCTTTCGATAAGTGGGCTGTCGTATTCGACACAAGTTGGCGGCTACGTCCTTGCGACTAGCCTGTGGGCTTTGGGGGGTCGTTTCGTGCAATCGAAGCGGCAATAGACCTGTGGGCATGTACACTTGTTTCGTGGGCTCGTGGCTGTCACATATTTTCTTCGCCTTGTGAAGAGAAGCATCTGTGCGCTAGGTGGCATACTTTGGCTTTTTGATGGCGGGCAATTCGAGAATTTGCGTCGTTTTTACGACATGCATACCAATGGGATTCTGAGGGACTTTGACGGGCTTATTCAGAGGGACGGTATCTTCGCTTGCTATCCAGCAATGAGGCGAACTGATCCCTTTTGGGTTCGCACGAAAGACTTCTGAGGGACCTGGGGGCTCCTGCAATTGCAAACTTGAAGCTTGTGAGTTGACGTGACGTCGCAACATCCATGCCAATACCACCCTGGAAGCTGTCGTATGAAACTTGTTTCCTTATTTTTCCCCCATTTGTTGTAATTCTCTTGAGGTGAGTAACCTACGCTGAGTGGCCCGAATCATTTCATAGATCTTTGGCGTTATGGCTAGGAAAAGTAATACACTTTCGTTCATTACTACTGTGCATACTTGTGCGTGAAGTGAGCCTCTGCATCACAGAGCGGCAAGGCTTGGTGGATTTAGTTCTACGTTTGTATTTTGCCGCTGAAAAAGGAAAGTTGACCAGGTTGACTCAAGCGGAACCAAGTGAATGAATGTAAGGCCAATATTTGTTCCAAATACCTAGGTAGATTACTCCGTATCTTGGAAGCCTTGGAATTTCATCGGTAGAACCCCCTACGCCAACATGCAGTCGTAATTAAATCATTCCGCTAAATTGTTGCCAGACTTTAGTTCATCCACAGTAACGGCTCGGTTTCCCATGTCTTCGTAACCAAATCATTATATCCTAGTAACCCTGATGCCGACTTCTTCATAAATGCAATTCCGGAATACGAAGTAGATTTCGACCGGATACTGTGTATTTCCTTACAGCAGCGAAGGCTGCAACGATCTCTCTCTCTGCTCCAGGCCCTGGAAGCACCTCGGAATTACCCTGCTAAATTATTGATAGTGCTTTGCCAGGGGGCCTTTAGTGGTGATAGACATATCAATCAGCAAGAATTGCCCATTGATCTCGAATCTTGACAGACACATCGTTGCAGCCTCCGCTGCTTGAAGGGAATGGTATAGAACTGGCCGTGCTCCGGGAACATATGTATATATGTGTATAGGCATGACTACCCGCCGTTTTTTTGGGCCAGCCGTACTTAGGCCTGGGCCACGATGCTCTTGCTAACGGCTCCAGCTCCCCATCTCAAGCGTCGGAGACCACCAGAGCTTCGCATCACCTCGCGTCCAGTATGGGACGTCTCGTTGGCAGCGCTCATGCTAGCTGCATAGGCGTCATGAGCTTCTTGACGGCCAACCTCACGTCCAATGACATAGCCAGCTCCGAAGCCAACCACGGAGACGAGAACAACGACACCTGCGCTGACCACCCATGTCAAAAGGGTGGGCGAGATAAGAGCCGCCTCGTCGGAGCCAACTACGACTTTCTTCTTCTTGCTTGCCCTGGGGCTCCTTCCCGCAGAGCCAGATCTCTTTGACTTATCGGCTTGCCCGGTTGTCCTTGTCGGTGATCTTGCAGGCGACCTTCGCCTTCGCGGAGACACTGCAGTGACTGGCCGTGGCTGAGAAGGTTCTTGCATCAACTCAGACTCAGGCACAAGTCGAAGTTCCATGGGTTGGTCGCTCGGGCCGACGCGCACGCCATTACGTGAGGCTCGCCAAGCTTCGGCCTCTTCCTTTGACTTTGGTAGGCCGCGCGCCGCAGCCGCGCAAGACAACAACGTTGTAAGAGATGCCCGCAAATCTTCATCGTTGTCTTCACGAACCGAGGGCGACATGAATGATGGCCCGTCCCGGTGGACGCGAGTCTGCGACCGTTGGGAGAAGGACGGCCGAGTAAATCCGCTGTGAGGATGAGGCGGCATGCTCGACGTAGCAGATTGACTTCTTTGAGGAGCGCCGGCGGAAGGGTGTGAAAAAGCATTTGGCTGTGGGCGAAACACGGGTCTATCAGGGACACGACCAAGGGCAGTCGCATCGTCGCCGTCCGAATCCGAGTCGGCATCCGAGGCCTCACCTACATTCCCAGGCGGTGCAGGGTGGACATTTTCAGTTGAACTCGTCAACAGCCGATCATCTTCGCTTTCGCTCTCGTCATATTCCTCTTGACTGCTCGCGCCAGCAGCGCTTATGGCTGTTTGCTGGTGAGACACCGATCGAGCGGAGGAGGCCTGTAAGCGACGACGGCGGATGTACGGACCTCGGACCCGCAGGCCGGTGGTGACGATTTCATCTCCGATGCTGGACAAGGACGAAGATGATGGTTGGGAGGCAACTTCAACCCAAGATTCTGCGGCTGTTAGATGAGATGACGACGGGCAGGTTGACGGCGAGAATATACCTTCAAATCGACGCGGATGTGATAAGCCGGGACTGGATCTGGAAGGGCCTGGCTGCGACACGGTGCCCCGCGGACCCTTGTTAGACTGGGTAGTGTTTCCATCCATAATGGCAAAGTTGGGCTTTCTTTATTTGTTATTGTATGTGAAGCAAATGTGATTCAAAAGGACCAGAGATTTATGCTCGATGGCGAGGGCAACACTTGGTGATGCGATAAAAGAGGACGAACAGCCACCGTTCAGCGGTCGGCGAGCCCCGCCCGGTGGTCACTGGTGAGACGTCAGTGTCACTGTCCTATAAATGCACGCCTCGTCCGCCGCGTGGAACAAGGACAAAGAAGCTGTGAAAGCCGTGGTTATTTTTGAACGGGTTGGAATGAAGGCGGGTGAAAAAGGCAGATGAACTATAGAGGGGAAATCCGAAGAGGACGATAAGATAGGAGATTCGTTTATGGTGGTGCGAAGTCGGGAGGAAGTGGACAGCCAAGCATCAATCGAGGGAAGGTTCAAGGGACCTGCGGGACTTGCGTTACTTGCGGTACTTGCGAAGTGGTATTTCTGACATTTGACCGCACCTGCACAAATGCGCGCATCTGCTCGACCGCTACTTGGCGCGCTGGTACACGCTTGGCACACCTGTGGTACGATTCCGCTTTTGGTGCTTAGCGGTTGAGCGGTTGAGCGGGTGTTGAGGTTGTTGAGGTTGGGCAGCTCCGCTCTCTGATCTCTGATCTCTCGCTGCGAGTCTCTCTGATATGCCCAGGTGCCCAGATGCCCGCCCTCTTCTAAGTTCTCACTTGCACAGCACGAGTGCGCAAGTGGCATGGCAGATGGATACAGATGGGTATCAAGGTGCCTAGAGAGGCCCCTCATTGACTCAGTGGCCTGCAGCGCTTACGGGGGCGTTGGGCAAGTACCAGGTCTCGGTTCTTGCATGTGTCTATGCGCATGTACACCGTCTGCACCGTATTGCTTCACTGTATCACGAGGCTGGTCAACTGGTGCGACAGACACCCACTGACACCGGTGCTGACACCACCGACACGCACTCGCGCGTGCAGCGGCGGCGGACTTGACGCCTCAAGCTTCTTTGCCTGCACATGTGCGCACATACAGTGCGGCCAATGCGAACAGCAGCTCATCAGCAAGGTTGGAAGGTACACCGTCTTCCACAGCCCCCGGCCAAGCTCAACAGCGGTGAGCAGCCTCAGATCAGTACCGGTACTTGCATTGAACCAGACGCTCGTCCTTGTCCATCATCCGTGTCACTCTCGTCCGTCTGTCGTGCGACCATGGCGTCATGTCCTCCAGGGCGGGGTTCCTGCCCAAAATAAGCAATAAAGAAAGAGGCCATGCGCCTCCATCCGCATGCAACAATCAGTCTTCAATCTTTATGCTTGTCCGACAGGCTGGCTGCCCCGCGTGGCGCGCAATGCGCCATGGCCGTCTTTTCGTGTGCGTGTGATGGCACCAGTTGACACTTATTATACGCCATCTTTTACCCGCCGCAAAATCTATTCAGCCTGGCGTCTTCCCATGTCAGGTCTCGTGCGACGTTGCGAAGCGAGACTTGCCTTTTTTTTGTTACTATTGCTACTATTAGTTATTATTTATTTTTCAAGGACCCGGGTTGTGCAGCCCATGACTGATTGCATTATTGATGTACGTGTCCTGAAACCCTAGCCACGACAAGCCCAATACAATTCATGTCCATCCTCAAAACATACGCCATTCTAGACTGATGTTAGTTCACATCAGATGGGTGGGTGTCCATTTGGCGCAGATCTCTCAGGAATGCTACCTGGTCCTACAAAACCCTACAGTCGCACAACCCAAACCCATCACATGATTAGAAACACCACGCACAGGTCAGCCTCTGAACGCGATGAAATCGTGATGATGGCTGGTCTCGATGCATAAAGTCAAGTCTAGGCATACCTTGGCCGATTTCTACTTGGACTACTGAGCAACCACGTAATATTATACCAAAAGAAATTGTAGTCTATATGCCCTTGTGCAGAGTCATTCTCTGCCTTTTATAAAAAAAAAAAAAAAAGAAAACCCATGATAATGTCTTTGAGATATCGAATGTAGATGGTCTCGTGACGAGGCTCGATTTGACCCCCCTGTCTAACTGAAAATCAAGACACATTATTGACCTCGGTGAAATTGATTGGCTTACTGATCCCGATTCGCTTTTCTTCAACAACGCGGCAAAGGACTCTGGGGGAAGAACGACGTGCGCAAGAGCGGATGCAGGCCAACGAGTGGCCACAGCGGCTGAGTCGTTAGCGATGGGCGCTGAGAGAAGCATGGATATAGTTTGGTTGGCCTCTAATATAAAGAGCTCAAACGCTACTTGTACGAACCGGGTACATGGGCTTCTGGGCTACAGCGTACAAAGGGCTAATGTACGAAAAACAGCCAGACTTAGACGTTGACGATGCCGAACCTTTGATACCTCTCCTCCCTCCACTTCGGGCCCCATCTCCTGACAACAAATATCGAGGGGCTGGCAGCCAAAACCACCAATGCCAGAAACAGATATGTAAATCCATAACCCCAGGCGTCGATGATGTACTGTACCACGGCTGTTCCCACGGCGCTTATCCCCGCCCTCGTCAGGTTGAATGAAGACGAAACCCGGCCGGCGTTCATCGGGTACAAGTCCACCAACAAGGTGGTGAGGATCGAAATGGGCCCAGAGAGACCCATGCCCGCGAGGAACAAAACAACCAGCGGTGCGGCTAGGCTGGCGCCCGAGTCGACAACCCAGCCCCATACAGCTGTCGTGATGAAGGCAAGCATCGTCCACGGCCACATGAGATCCAGCCTCGCCCTCTCAATGGGAAACCGTCTCAACTCGCCGCCCCTCTTGCGGTCGGCGGACACGCCCATGCTCTTTGCCACCCGGGCGTAGTTCCAGTCGAGTAGTCTGCCTACCACGACGGCGCCAGATACGGATCCCATCGCAAAGGGAATGTAGCACAGCCCGACCTGGAGGTCGTTGAAGCTGTATCGGCGGCGAATAACGTCTTGAAGAGGTACCAGCATGGCGTAGTTGGCCATGACAAAGAGAGACATGAAGAGCATGAGGAGGCCGACGTCCTTTTCAAAGATGATGCGGATGGCAGCAAAGATGTCCGGGACGGGGATCCCGAGAGGCAGTTTCTTGGGCTCAGGGGTAGTCGCGCCGGGCGTGGACTCGAGGTCGCGTCTTTTGCGGCGCCATTGGATCCGTGATGTGATGGAGGTGTTGAGAGCCGGCGGAGGGATCGATCCATTGCCCACAATGTTGCGCGCCGTCTATTTCACAGTTAGCCATCTCGTCGGCCTGCCTTGCCGCCTCTCCCCTCTTCCCCCCGGTCTTTGGTATGGTGTCGTACCTCTGGCACAAACGGAAGGTAAACCACGACAAACACGCCGGCGGCGATTGTCAGGAACCAAAACGTCGACCTCCACCCCAGGTACTGCGTCAGCAACCCCCCCAGGACAGGCGCCAATGCCGGCGCAAACATGATGCTCGACTGCACGGCCGTGATGTACCCTCCTCTCTCGGCGGCAGTGGTCAGGTCAGCAACTACGGCGCTGCCGATCGCCACTGTCGCGCTACTGCCGGTGCTTTGCAAGGCTCGCAGAACCAACAGCGCCGCGTAGTTGTGCTGCAGGGCAAGCCCGACGTTTGCACCCAGGTAGATGGCAAACGTGAGCGCATAGACGGGCCTTCGGCCAATCTGGTCGCTGAGATCGCCAAAGAACAGTGGTGCAATGGCCTGCATGATTTGGTAGACGGTGACGGTGAGGTTGATGTCGCCTAGGGAGCGGTGATATGAGTTGGCGATGGGGGTGATGGCTGGCAGGTAGATGAAGGATGAGAAGGGCGAGAAGATGGTGCTGAAGACTGTCATGACGATGACGAAGACTTTGATCCTGGAGGAAAACACGGAGTGGAGGGGGCGCTCGTTTGATTGCTGTGGTTCGAGGACCTGATTCTGCGTGAGGTCTTCATATCGAGTATTGTCTGCTCGGGTATGATTGTTGTTCTTGTCGTGGTGAAGAGGCAGTGTGGTGGCGAGTCCAGCCGTCTCCTTAGTTTGGTCATCACTTGGCCCGGGACATTCTTCGTCTCGAGGCGTCTTGGACATTTTATTTGAATTTTACGTCCCTGACATTCGAAGGCGAAAGCTTGTGATGCCAAGTGGCGTGTCTCATTTATATACTACGCTCGAGTGGACATGTAGCTGAGACGGCAGCCCGTATTCCTGAATCCGATAATACATGAAAATACGGGAATGGGGGATGACAATCCATGACAAAAAATAAATATAATCAAAAACGTATGAGCTGCAGTACGGAGATTTCACGTCCAATTTCCGAAATTTGACAGTATTTAGATCGAACGTAGAAAATGGGATCGCACTACTCCGTATTGGGGTCAGTCGGGAGGCTTGCCGGAGTGTCTGATGTCACTCTCGGGACGGATCCACATCTCCCGCGCCGAGACTCGGTGCCGAGATCGCTCCGGGTGTTGGTGTGAAATGCATTTGGTGCACGTCCAAACATTTCTCGCGCCTCATCACGCCGTCCCGGCAGTATCGAAAACTCGGCTCCTTGGCAGGATATTCGTCAGCCCTGGACACCGCAGATAAGAATGCCAAGACGGAGGGGATGTCAACGGATCCGAATTGGCGATTCCTCACGGCGGCCCACACTACACAGCATATTGTTTCTCCGGCAGCTATTGAAGCAATGTCGGCGAGCAATGGTCTCAAGGAAGACCTACGCTCACTTCTCATCGGTAAAATATAATCGGAGATTGCTTACTTCCTAATCTCGTTCCCAAAACATCCCAGACTCATCCTGTATATTGGTCTGCCGACGTCGGCACCGAACAGGCTTCAACAACATCACCCGCATCGGTTCGGCAGGGTACCAATGCGGAGCTCGCTTATGTCCTCCAAACTTAACTCGTTGGTTCTCTTTTTAGAGACCGCTAGTCTGTGTGTGTATAACCCGAGTCTTCTTATCTCCGAAGACTGAGGTATGCATTGCATGATCTCCTGCGTGTAAGTGTCTGGTTGAATGTAGGGCCGGCGCAAGTCTCAGAGCACTGTGATATAAAAGTCTTAATATCACACGGAACGCCTTTTCTACTTTTACCAGACACCCTGATCTTCTTTTTCGACTTGAATCCGGTCAACGCCTTGTTCTCACTTCCCGAAAAAAAAAAAAATATGGCATCCGCCCCAAACACCGCAGCAACCTACCCCCCAGCCAAGACGGCCCTCCTCCTGCTTGACTACCACAACATCATTGTCGACATGATTCAACCCCTCGAGGAGAAGGATAGGGTCGTCAACACGGCGAACTCTCTACTTAAAACAGCCCGCGAGAGCTCAGCCACAATTGTTCATTGTGTGATCGACATGAACGCCCAGCCCGCCGAGACCAGCAAAATGCGGCAACGCTGGGAGTCTACTTACAAGCCCTTGGCGGTTTCAGCCCCGGAGAGGCTTGGACTAATTGCTGAACTGGCTCCCACCGCCAAAGGCTCCTCTGGCAAGGAATTCGTCGTTGCCAAGATGCCGGGGTGTGTCTCTGCGATGAAAACACCGGGGTTTGTGTCTTCGCTGCGGGAGAAGCATGGAGTTGAGAGTGTCGTTATTTGCGGTCTTATCTCGAGCGGCGCGGTCTTGAGCACGGCCCGCGAGGCCGCTGATTTGGGCTTTGTCACGACAGTAGTGGAGGACGGTTGTTGGGATTACGATGCCGGGGCTCATTCGGTTGTGATGAAGAACATTTTGCCGATGACGGCGTATACCACTGATTTGAGGGGTGGTTTGGACTTGTTGAAGGGTTCTGACAGATAGAGCTATGTGAGTTGACCCGCCCCCTTGGGTGACACAGGGTATCAAACAGATTTTGGCGATCTCGGCTTCAGCACACAGCGAAGAGGAAGCATTGGCTAACCTGGCTATTATTTGCATATATCTAGCATCTGGTACTCCGTATAGATGTAGGCAATGTGACAGCATCAGTGTAGGTAGCTCTGACGGGGGGCGGACTGATTCTGCAAGGTTGATCAAAATGTCTAGTCGGAAATATGGCAGTGCAGGAGCTGAACAGAAACAATTGGTTGCAAGCAGCGCATTGTAGCATGACCTGAAGCTCCAAACATGTGTGCCATGTGGTTCAAGACTGCTTCAGAATAGCGTACGCATTCCGTACTCGCCAACTTGGCACCCGTTTGGCCCAAATGATTCTACTGACTATGCAGTCGGCCGGCTAGTTTAACAAATCGTTTCATCACCAGTCGCCGGGGGTTTGTGGATTCGCCGCATTGCTGGTTCGTCTGTGCCGGCACAGAGTGGCTTCGGGTTCTTATTCGCATTTCCCCAGCGGCTGGGTCGCACGATCTCACATTCGGGCGGACCCAAATGCAGAGCGCCATCGAATTCATCCAGAACAATTACAATGTCGGGTGTCATCCGATGCTCCATAGGCGCTCGTGAAGATGAGGTCGAGGTCCAGGGACTTGGCCTTGAGCTCTTTGAAATATGCAATGGGCAATGGCTCTGCATCTGTCCGATGTCCCAGTTCAGTGGTTCCTCCCAGATTGACACACCACTTCCTGCCAAACCCGAATACGAGACACCCTTGGCCATCGTAATCAGGCGCTCTGGTTGGACGGTCCCTGGCTTTCCGTCGGCAGAGACCCCACATACACAGCGCAGCTGCATCTTGTGGGTCCCCCTGAACCAACGAAAGGACCATCCAACTCCAAATTCCTTTTATCGGGCGCATCTCGACGCCACCCGCCGACTCTTTCTTGGTTGCTTGGTCCTACGTCGTCGAGGTTTGTTCGTTTCTTGCCTCATTAATTTGACGACAGGGCACGTAGAGTCGATTGTCCTCATCTTCTCTGGGAACATTCCCTGTTTGATTGCCGTTCCATACCCAATTGCGCGAGCCAAGCATTCGCCGACGCATCGTCAACATCTGCAACCACAATGGGGATCCTTCAACAGGTGGCGAGCCACCCGCTCTCGCAGCAGTTCCAGACTCTGGGTCTGGGATCGCAGATTGCCGTCGCTTTGGGTGCTTTTATCGCACTTGCGGTTGCTTTGAACGTTGCCAGCCAGATTCTTTTTAAGAACCCCAATGAGCCTCCGTTGGTCTTCCACTGGTTCCCCTTTATTGGCAGTACTGTAACGTACGGAATGGATCCTCCCAAATTCTTCAAGGAAAACCGTGCCAAGGTATGTCTTGAACTCTGTTCCCTCTGTGCCAACTGTTCACAACACTAAAATTCGAATCTGATCGGCGCTACAGTTTGGGGATGTCTTCACCTTTGTTCTCCTTGGCAAGAAAACCACTGTTGCCGTTGGCCCCGCCGGAAACGATTTCATTCTCAATGGCAAGCTCAAGGACGTCAATGCCGAAGAGATTTATACTGTTTTGACCACTCCTGTCTTTGGCCGGGACGTCGTCTATGACTGTCCCAACGCTAAGCTGATGGAGCAGAAAAAGGTAATGGCAACCAACGCCATTTTCCCCCCTCCTCTTGGTCGCGATGCAGGCAGCAAGTACTAACTGCTGGTACAGTTCATGAAGATTGCTCTGACGACTGAAGCTTTCCGATCCTACGTTCCCATTATTTCTGGCGAAGTGCAGTCCTATTTCAAACGCGACCCCGAGTTCAAGGGCAAGTCCGGCGTCGTTGATATTCCCAAGAAGATGGCCGAGATTACAATCTTTACTGCCTCCCACGCTCTCCAGGGCAGCGCCATCCGCAGCAAGTTTGACGAGTCTTTAGCTGCTCTCTACCACGATTTGGATATGGGCTTCACACCAATCAACTTCATGTTGCACTGGGCCCCCCTTCCCTGGAACCGTAAGCGTGACCACGCTCAACGTACTGTGGCCAAGATCTACATGGATACCATCAAGGAACGTCGCGCCAAGGGCGATGACGACAAGGAACTCGACATCATGAAGCACCTGATGAACTCGACCTACAAGAATGGAACCCCTGTTCCTGACCACGAGATTGCCCACATGATGATTGCTCTGCTGATGGCCGGCCAGCACTCGTCGTCATCTACCAGCTCATGGATCATGCTCCGCCTTGCTCAGAACCCGCACCTCGTCGAGGAGCTCTATCAAGAACAGATCAAGGCCCTTGGTGCTGATCTGCCACCTCTGACGTACGAAAACCTCTCTAAGCTGCCTCTCAATCTGGCCATCATCAAGGAAACCCTCCGTCTGCACGCTCCTATTCACTCCATCTTGCGTGCCGTCAAGCAGCCCATGCCAGTGCCTGGTACCAAATATGTTATTCCCACCACTCACACCCTTCTCGCCGCTCCCGGTGTCAGCGCCAGCGACCCTACGCACTTCCCCAACCCCGAATCCTGGGACCCCCATCGCTGGGATAGTGAATCCCCCAACGCCCCTACTATTGTCCGTAACGTCGCTGAGGAGGAAGAGAAGGTCGATTATGGATACGGTTTGGTCAGCAAAGGTGCCGCCTCGCCGTACCTTCCTTTTGGTGCGGGTCGCCACCGATGCATTGGCGAGCACTTTGCCAACGTACAACTTCAAACCATTGTCGCCGAGACTGTCCGTCTGTTCAAGCTGAGCAATGTCGACGGCAGCAACACCATTATTGGCACCGACTACTCGTCTCTCTTTTCACGACCCCTGGAACCCGCAAGGATTCGCTGGGAACGGCGAGATTAGGTGTATGGGCGGTAGGTGCAAAAAAAAAAAAAAAAAAAAAAAAATTGCATGGGATAAAAAGACGAGTAGCGACCTTCTTCTTTTCCTTTCTTTTTCGTTTTTGCGTGGGTATTTGTATATACAAGGCTACTCGCTGGAGTTATTGAAGTCATCAAATGGACGAGTTTACGTGGATGAGCCCGCGCGGTTGCATGGAAAAAAGGGTATTAATATTTAATGTAAATCAAAGTTATAAATCAATTTAAAGGTCTGAAATAAAGGAATAAAAGCAGTATGAGCGATCCATGTCGTGAACGTGACGAAATATCGTTGGTTTGGCCTTCTGCCTTCCCGTCCAGATCTCGGCCCCGGCCCCATTGGGCGGACGGAGGACCACCTACCTGCACGGACCGGGTGCAACGGCATCTGGAAACATGAGGTGGCTGCGTGCAATAGTTTCAAACGTCGCGCCTCCCTTCAGCTGTGTTTGGCAGCACCTTCTCCAACATGAGGTTACATGCTCACCAGGGACGATCCTGGCAAGCGAGACTTTTTTTTTTTCCCTTTATAAAAAAGACAAAGTCAAGGGCCGAATGCACGCGAGCTTCTTGCTTTGATCAACATCGCACTCACACTCTGTTAACCAGCCTCTCACCTCGCACGTGTGCCACAGAGCCAGAGTCACCACAGGAATATTGACAGACAGTACTACAACACAGACATTTACCGCAATGGAATACAGACTACCAAAGCTATCCGCAGACTCAGACGGTGATCTTAAGGCAGCTCATAGCCGTTTGGTCCGCCTTTGGGGGGTTAAACCGTCGCAGTTGCCATCTTCAGCCTCGCCTCCGAGCGATCTCATCCCACTGCTCACGGCCACGTGGACGGAGGCAGTGTATTTTATCAGCAAGGTCCATTTGGAGTCCGAGACCAAGACTTCGCCATGGCACCCAATCGGTGTCAAGAGATTTCCCCATTCCGATGCCCCGGTACACTTGTACCAACGCGTCGTGTCGACGCCAGAGCTCGTTCGCGTTTGCGAAGAGCACAAGATCAATGACACAGAGGAGAGAGACCTGCATCCAGAAGTATGGGCTTTGCGGCGCAGCATCCACCAGAATACCGCAGCAACGGGAACAGCCAACTGGAGAGAATGGGTTCGCTGCTTCAAGGACAACCACGCCAAGGCAGAGAAGGACTTTACCCCCACGGTGTTGAGCACATGTCTGATGAAGAAGTGGAAGTGCAAAGACATCAAAATTCAGCTTGCCGGGCGGACTTGGGTTGATTGGACGATGAAGTGGGAGGAATCTGTCCATAAGCTTCCTTTCCCGTTGAGCAAGCGCGTCTTCCCTGTCCTACAGGTGACGGCCATGACGGATAACAAGCAGGAGTTTATGGTCGTTCAGATTGCTGTCAAAGATTATGATGCGACACCCCGGAATGGGGGCGCTGTTCTGGGCGCTTATACCAGCGTGGAGAGATTTCGTCAAACTGACGGTGGCGTTGAATGGATTATGGGCACTGTTTCAGATGCGAGAGGTTTCTTGCCTCGATGGATTCAGAAGAGAGCGGTGCCAGCCCAGATTGCCAAGGATGTTGACATGTTTTTGGTTTGGATCGCAGAGGAGAGAACGAGGATTTCGCCGACAGATGACGATATATCGACCCCGATCAATGATTCCGGAGCTGACCCTCGAGCTACTTTGCAGGTTACTTCTGCTCAGGACACGAATAACGGCCCCCCAAGACCAACTGTGGCAGACGAGAAACCGGTGGGGGAATGACGAATCATGGCGCACAGCATGGTAGCGTTTACTTTCCCGTACCGACATAGCATGTATTGTAATTATTGATATCCCGAAGCGAATAATGTACTTCATGCTCTTGCTACTGGGCTCATTTCGCGGAGTTGATTCTGTGACTCTGTTGATGCGTGAAGCCTGGCCATGGGGAAGGTACTCACGGTGTAGTTCTGCCGCACCTGCTCTTGCAGATATTAAGCGAGACGAAGGCGGCATAGTTTGGCGGAAGAAACCAGACTCCTCTTTGATCTCGACGCCCGTGTGTCGACATCTTATTCTAACAGGGACACAGCATTCTATCAATGGTCGGTCTAGTCATAGCACGCCCGTAGGACAATGGCAAGTAAACGTCGACTCTCTGCCCCGGTGGCACCGACACCTCCACCATCGAGCACGTCTCTTTCTTCACCAGAGTCGATTCTGGTGGACTCTACATGTACCTCATCTTCGTCCAATGCTGTCCTCGACGCAAAACTGTTGGACCGAGCCGAAAAGCTCGCCCGCATGACAATGGAGCTCAAGATCCACAAGGTTGTCATGCAGGCCAACGATCTGGCTCGCGGACTCGAAGACCTAACACGCAAGACAGTGCGCAACGAGTCCTTCCGCCAGCAAAACGAAGAACGCATGGAGAGGGTCTGGCAGGACATCTTGTCCGTCAAGGTGAACTTTGAGCAGCACCTGGACACGAGGGCAAGAGACAAGCTCGATCTGAGGGAGTGCCAAAGGGAAGTGACGGAGGTGAAGAGCTCAATGGGCGAGGTCAGGAGGCTGGTGGAGGAATTGGCCAGCAAAGTAGACCAGCTGCCGACGCTGGCCGAGGCCAACGCCGTGCTGGCGGGCGTGAGTGCGCAGAGGGAGGCGTGCGAGACTGCCGCTGCGGTTTGTCGGGAGTGCCGTGAGTTCGGGACGCGGCTCAAGATCCACAAGGTTGTCATGCAGGCCAACGATCTGGCTCGCGGACTCGAAGACCTAACACGCAAGACAGTGCGCAACGAGTCCTTCCGCCAGCAAAACGAAGAACGCATGGAGAGGGTCTGGCAGGACATCTTGTCCGTCAAGGTGAACTTTGAGCAGCACCTGGACACGAGGGCAAGAGACAAGCTCGATCTGAGGGAGTGCCAAAGGGAAGTGACGGAGGTGAAGAGCTCAATGGGCGAGGTCAGGAGGCTGGTGGAGGAATTGGCCAGCAAAGTAGACCAGCTGCCGACGCTGGCCGAGGGCAACGCCGTGCTGGCGGGCGTGAGTGCGCAGAGGGAGGCGTGCGAGACTGCCGCTGCGGTTTGTCGGGAGCGCCGTGAATTCGGGACGCGGGCTGGTACGTATGGGCGGCGGTGGTGTCGGTGTCTACTGACTGACTGACTGGGTGTCGGAGCAGGGTGCTCTCACAAGCCTATGCAGACTCGCATCCAGGAGACGATCAAGTCTACGCGGCGGTGGCACCACGATCACAAGTCGACTGCGCTGCCTGACGCCGTGTTTACGGCCAATTATCTCAAGAAACAGTCGAAGCGAGACCCGCGCATGGCCGTGTTTCTGCAGAGGGCTATTCACAAGCGCATCAGGCGGCGGCGGCGGGAATCTGGCTCGCGGCCGCAGTCGCTCGAGGAGTTTTGTCAGGATGTCAGCTGGGACGATGTGACGAGGACGGTGGAGGACGTCTTGGTTAGGAGGGTGGATTCTACGGTTCGATCGTTGAGTCAGAGTTCGCAGTAGTTGCGAGGCAGAGAGGGCTAGTGATGTACTATTATTATATTTGCTCTGTTGCCAACAACTGACCTGTGGGTATCAGTGAATGACTAGACGTCCCTGGTGTTTTTCTGTTTGTTCCACCTTCCAACGCCAGTGCTGTCCGTGAATACCAGCTCGTGATGCACCCTCCCCCAACGCCAAATAACATTACACACGTCAGGCTCGGTTCCCCCCATGCCCAATCAGCTAGTCGTCAACTTCAATGCCAATGGAGCCCTTCTTCAATTCAATCTCCGACTTCAACTGCTTGATCTGATTCTCCAATCTTATTCGAAGAATCTTGTTCTGCGTCTTTTCGAGATCCGCCACCCGTCTAGCCAACTGCTTCTCCAAGTCATGAATGATGTCCTTGACGCCCTGCTCCTCGTCTCTCTGAGCACGCTGGTCCTCATCCAGATCGTCGTCGTCGTCGTCGTCGTCATCATCATCGTCCTCGTCCTCGTCCTCGTCCTCTTCTGACTCATCGTTCTCGATGCTTTCTTGGATAACAGGCGCGGGCGTCTCGACCTGCGTGGTCATGGGCGTAGTCATGTCCATTGCCGTGCCAGGTGTCTCGGCCACCAAGTCATCCGCAAAGGCAGCTTCCAAGTCAGCCTCGAGGTCATTGTCGTCGCCAAAGATCTCGTCGTTCTGCGTATTGCCAAAGTAGCCCATTGAGTCGTCCACTTCGCCCTCGGCGTCCTCGTCGGCGCCCATTTCCACGTCTTCCTCGTGGCGGTCGTCTACCCACTCCCACTTCGTGGAGCTGGCCTTATTATCCTCCGCGAGCAGTCTCTCCACCTCGGCCTCCTTGTCTTCAATCTCCTTGCGGCTGATGGTCTTGGCAAACCGGCGGTTGACGCAGTCGTGCATCGGCGGCGTGATGCCGTGCGGCCATTTGAAGTTGGTGTCGATCATGGTGGGTAGTGGTGCGCGCTTGGCCTCCTCTTCGTTCTTAACTTGCTGGAATACAAGCAGCATCTGGCAAATATCTGCAGACTTCATGAAGGACTTGCGATCCCACGTCTTCATGGATTCGGTGATGGTGGGTAGATCCACCATGACGGCGGCAAAAGATTGGCCTTTGATGGTCATGATGGCCCGTCGCGTGTCCTCGTCAAAGAACTTCATGGTGATGTCCGCGCCGCCCTGGGCTCGAGGAATGCCCATTTTGCCATTCTCCATGCACCAGCGTACGTAGTCGCAGTGCTCGCCGGGCAGCATGCGCAGGATAAACTGCTCCTCGATGGCCGGGTCCAACTCTCGATCGCTCGCTTCGGAATCGTACCCGTCACCGGGGGGGTGGACCGGCGGGCGTCCTCGCGGCTTCAACACTACCTGGGTATGAGCCGACTTGACGCCTGGCCGGATCTTGATCTTGGTGGCCTGGCTGCCTGCCTTCTGTGACAGTGGCAGGTCGTCATCATCGTCGTGCGGTCGTTTCCTGCTCTCGACGAGCTTCTGGCTCGGCTTTGTCTGGCGACCGGCTTTTGTTTTGGCGGGTGGTGCTTGGTCTGTGGCCGGAGTTGGAGGTTGTGACAAGGTGAGTTTGAGCTTCACCTTGCGTGGGCCGTCGCCTGGCGTCGCAGAGGCCGGTGGTGGTGGTGCTGCTGCTGCGACTGCTGCGGCTGCTGCGGCTGCTGCGTCGCCGACAAACGATGAGGACCGGCTGATGTTGATTTTTAATTTGGGTTTTGGCGTTTCCGTCGCCGCGCTGCCGGGATCTGGCGCAGACATGGTGCGGGCTGGGGGTGGTGATGTGGATGATGGAGGAGTAGAAGGAGGAGCTTGAATTGAAAGTTACAGTGCTCGCTAGACTGGACTATAGACGATTCGGTCCCTGTGTGGGGCGGCCGTGGTTTATAGGATCAGGGCCTAGATTGGAGCTGAGCCCCCATCAGAGGACTAGGCTAGTGCGAGCATAAACTCCTACCGCTGACCGTTAACCTAACAAAGAAAAGCTCTCCTCCAGCTGATCTGCTACATTCTCAAAATACTCAATGTCCGATCTGTTCGAGGCCCAGGATGAGGTTACCCAAAACGAATGTGATGCATACGCGCGGAGCCTTGCAAAGAGCTCCGTGACACCGCTGCCTTGGCAAGGATTTCACAGCTACACATTACTCTCCGCCTCAGGCATTATCATTCAATTTCAATTTAAAGCTTCGCCTCTCGATAATTCAACCGTTAAGATCGCCAAAAGCATTCATCCCTACCTGACACCAACTACTACCTACTATGGTTCCATGCCAAACTCGTCAGTTACTATCTGGGTGATGGATGCCCTTCCAGGTATCGGATTTCTGTTCATAGTCAGCAGTATTACACTAGCTAAGCAAGATATTATAATAACCGATTTGGCCAAGTAAGTTTCTGACACTGGCGTTACACTCTTCACCCATTATTACTGATATCGTTACAGGTTCTACGCAAAGTCGTGGAAAAATGCCTAAGCCCCCGTCGAGGATAAAAATCATCTCTATAATACGAAGCTCGAGCAACTCCGCTACGCATTACCTACTCGGTTTACGCCTATTATTGAACGGATCCGGAGCCAAATAGTACACGTGGTCGATCAAGTACCTGGGGTTTTGACACACCAAGACCTTTCCAACACAAATATACTCGTTGATCCTGATTCTGGCTATCTCACGGGTGTCGTTAACTGGGCGGATGCTGCCATTGAACCATTCGGAATTGCACTTTGGGGACTTGAGAGCATTCTTGGTTGCAGCGGCCCTGGCGGCTGGTCATACTTTTTGGATGATTCTTCCCATTCACGGACGCTGTTTCGGCAAGCTTTCTTGGCAGAAATTGGAGCACCACTTTCAGATCAGATTTGCAAAGCCATAGATGAACTCAGAAACCTTAGGATACTACTTTAGTATGGTTTTACGTGGGATAGTGGGGTAAAAGAGCCCGTTAACGATGTTTCTCAACTTAATATGTTTCTCGGAAGTGAATTGTTTTAAACGAACACAGAGCTTGGGTTATACTGAATGCCTGAAGCTTGATTTTCAAATAATTGCGTCATTAATAAGAATTCCCCGACTTTCCTCTAAGGCGCTTCACAATCTACCTAGCTGATAACGCTAAACCTCTTCAATATACCCCGAAGAGCAGGAATGTTTGGTGCGAGTTTCCCGTCGATCAAGACCTTGTGAGGCCCTTTAACCGTCGGTGCATGCGTTTCTTGGCCCTTGAATGAGATTATCCCCTCTTCTGATGTAAAAACCCACCCTGTGGTTCTGAAAGGGCCCCCGTGGCGTGTCTTGATCCCTTAGCATCGCCGTCCCGCAATCTCCAAGGTCGAACTCGACCATCTTCCCTGCATCCTGGCCGAGGATTTGGAGGCCGACAGCTTCTTCTAAGCTATTGAAACGCAGATAGTCCACCAGCTCTCTGATGAAGTCGAAACTAATGTCGGAGACATCGTTTACCCTGCGCTCGGTATACTCGTAAGCGACAAACCGGTCTCCAGCGACGAGTTTAAATATATGACCCTGCACTATTGCAAGATCAAGCTCTTCTATGGTAACTGGTTTCGTCCAATAACCTGAAGGTTCTGTTAGGATGTGACGTAGCATCACGGTGCCGGTCGCAAGTTTAGAGTGGCCATGAATAAGATGAACTCCGAGCCTGCTGTGCACATCGTATTTGACAAAGATTTTGGCAAGGTTTCGCAGATGCATGGGAGATATTTCCGATTACAGCTCCTCACTGTCAATAAGGCCATTATACCTAATTATCGTTAGCCTAATACCAGGCTATGATCTCTTAGGCATAATTAGAGGTTATCAACGTACGTGTCAAGTGAGGCATGAAGATCAGCCAGTGTTGGTTGGCAGTGGAAACCCGGGAGCTAGCTGGAAGATAAAGCAATAGCCATAGTTGCTAAAGACAACACGGATGAAATTTGAACTAAAACTAAGGGCGTAAATTAGGTAAAGTGGCAAAGAATGCGAGGTGTTATCCGCAAATCTTTTCTGTACGTGCTTTCAACCTTCAGAGGAGTTCTTATACTTCTTGTACCAGATGGTGCCAGTTTCCACCATTTGCCCTTTTTACTGGAGCTATTGCAACTCGCCACACAAAGGCGGAGGTAATTTTAGAATATTAGGGGTGTGTATTGTGTGTTGTAGAGGTCCTTGTCCTTTTCTGCCAATCTCACAAGTTACTTCTGCTTAACTACTACCGTTTTATCCAACAGGCATATATATTATGTGACAGTATCTACACCGTGCTTCTGACAGGAGCCTAGATTGGGTTATATTGGGGAGTAAGCATAAGCAGACCCCAACCTGTGCATCACAGGTAGCTCCATGGTTCCAGCCCGCGCCACCCGGAAAGATGCAATCGTATCATTTCAGATACTACACTTGAATGGTTGTAACGCCTTGAAAGTTGACAGAGCAAGATCAGGCAACAGCCATCTGGGCTGAGGCAAATCAAGCAGGTGTTGGTTCAATCCATGATGTTGCTAATTGGACGTACGCCACGACATGGAAGCTACCACATGGATGTCGATAGGAGGCATGATTGTCAGGGAAACATTCTCAATACTGCAGTACAACGTTGGAAAGTCAAAGGATACGGCGATTACCAGTCTTCTACGGGACCCAGAATCCCAAAATACGACATCTTGGCAATTCAGCAATGCTGGGTTCAGTCAGCCAACAATGGCGGATACCAACAATCAAGAGCGTCGTATGACCACACCAGGGATCTCAGTCCAGCAGCACCGCAGCTCCCTTGAGCTAGATTCCGTGTGACAGATATGGCGGGATGAAGATGGTACTGCAGGATTGAGAGCCTCTGTAGCGTGTTTGCTCCCAAAGTGGCCGCCGATGTGTAGCCGTGGATGACGTGTGGTAAGAAAACGTCGGCAGTAACAGCTTGCAGCAGTAGAGGCAGGTCTCTTCACAAGCGGTTCATCCAGTTGCTCCCTTGTTCGCTCTTTGCAAGGCAGGTAAGAGAATCAGTTGGCCGGCCTCACATGTAATGTAACCTTTGATAAGTGTTTAGTTCGTATACTTCCAAGTAATAGAGGCTACGCCGTGTCTCTATAGCTCCTGATACTGATGAGAGGGCGTACTGGCCGAGAAATTCACAACCAAAAAATGGGGAGGCTGGTAACTATGTCGCGTTGATGTAATCACCACTCTCACAAGGGGAACTCTTTGAAACACAGAGTGGTTGAAGCGTTTGTTGGTCACGTTTTGGGCTAGTAATGAACTTGGTTGGTCTGGAGTTATAACCCTAATTTACCCCTTTTATTATTAGTAGATAGTACTATTACTATTATCTATACGCTAAGCCTAAAAAGGCTAGTACTTTATTATATAAGCTAAATTACTATTATCAAAGAGCTAGATAGAGTATATAATAAAAGATAGATAGAGTGTATTTTTAGCGTATTCTTCTAAACGATCTAGACGAGAATTTCACCTCTATATATAGTTATAATATAAGAGAGTAAAAAACTTAATTTTAAATAAAGAGATATTATTAAAGAAAGAATTAATATAATAAATTAATTTAATATAAATTAATTCTT